CCAGATTTCAGCATAACTCTGCTATAATTCAGCACCCCACAAGGAAATGACTTTCGGCATCAAGCTAGAGGCTTCTTAGTTGATCCAAAGATTTAATTAACATTGGTATTTCACTCATAAAATGAGATTGTAATTGATACCCCCATATAATAGTTGAAATACTTGGCAAGCCCGAGCCTTGAACTTAATCCTCAAAAGTCACAGTCATGAGAGAACTTTTGAGGATCAGGTTATGACTACTGAACTGTCTGGAATTCCAACCTTTAATCTTCCCTGAAAAGAGTTTACAGAGGCCAGCAGCTGGCAAGTGGCAGCAATAAAGTTATTACTGACATAGCCACATCCAAGAAAAGTGAAAACAACTACTATAATGCACAGGGGAAATGCACATATTCTACAACTACTTTAAAAGGGGACATAAAACCCTCAGTGGAGAATTACTTTAAAAACCAGAGGGAGTGATCAAAGCAGTGAGGAGCCAGAAAGAGAAGTCAGAGAATGAAATATGGAACTGAACAGACTCTATCCTCCTTTGAGTAGGACAGAGAGAATACTTGATGTAGCAGCACCCCCTACAGCCCAGGTCAAGCAAGAATTCTTTTTTTGTTTGTTTTCATTTCTCCACATTAAAATATTATCAAGAAAAAAAATTACCTTGTGACACTTATAATAATAAGCAAGAAGCTGGGGCATCCGATCAATTTCAGTGAAGACTTTAACAAACATTTTTGCCTGATCTAAATAAAATAAATAAAAAAAGGTCAGGCCCGAAGCGCAAGGTGAGACGGAATACACCCCAAACCGAGTAAAACAATTCTTCTGTTAAGGGGATATGTGCCATGGCCCATAGAGAAAGTCAAAACTGGCATGTTTTGTTTGCTTGCCTTCTCTTTAAGAGCAGAGCTGCTTAAAACCAATACTCAAATGAGAACAGGTATCAGATTTACAATAAATGAATTTAACCTTTTACCAGTAAATCATTCTTGGGCAAGACAGATAAAAGCAGGGCATTTCACAGAAGGAAATCATTAATTTCCAGAAACAAGCACTGTCTGCAAAACCAGAACACATTTCTCATGAAGGCCTCATCCCTTTCCAGCACTCCACGTTAACAGGCACTAAAACTAGTTGCCTCAACTGCCTAACGGTGCCATCGCTCTTACCCAAAGCCTTTAAAACCAGAGTCCCCAGAACTCTGATTTGTACTACAAGGGCACCATATATAATTCTATTCACAAAATCAATCTGGGTTCAGATAAATTAGTAATATACGTTAGTTATTTTTCAAACAGCACCTGGAGGGAGACCATGAAACATGAACATCATAACTTAGATGCTCTACACCTGTGGAAGTCACTGAATGCAAAGCTCTGGGGATAGATTTACTGATGAGTATTGAGTTTGTAGGAATTGGGATGCAAGGGAAAAACATGACTTCACAAAAACGAGAAAAACAGCACTCGGTGAGAAAATAAACAAACAAAAAAAACATGTTGCCGTGTGCCCAGATCTTAACAAGTGAATATAAACAATGCTCAAAGTGAATTATTCCAAAGAGTCTGCCCAGGAAAGGACCACGTCTCAGCACACTGGCTCCCAGCATGCCGACACATATTTCTCCACCAATATGGGTCCCAGGAAAGGACCACGTCTCAGCACACCAGCACACCAGTGTGCTGACACATATTTCTCCACCAATATGGGCTTATTTGCTGGAGAACTCACAGAACACAGCAATATCCTATTACTTCAATATTCCAAAACATCGTCCTTTGGCACGTGCATGTGAGCAACTGTGAGAGTCTGTGAGCACAGTCTAAGGAAAAGGGAGCTGGTGCAAAGACAGAGCCACAGATGAGTGGGAGAGGAAGAGCTGTGCAAGGGATCAAGGATTCCTGGAAAGCTCCCCTCTCCCGCCAGCTGCCTGCAGCCAGGCACTGCTGTAACTTGCCGTTACTTGGACGGGAGCTCCAGGGAACGTCACAGAGCAACAGCCCTATAGCACTGGATCGGTAACGGGAATCCCTGGGCACGCAAAGGAGAAGCGACAGAGGGAACAAGCGTTTTCCAGAAACACAGGGACAGTAGGGGAGGTAGGGAAGAGTGCACAGAGATTAAAAATATCAAATGATCTTCTAAAGAAGAGAGAGTTTATAAAACGACTCTTTCAGCACAGTGTGGAGTCAGAGTATTTCTGAACACTATTCACATGACTATAAAGCCAAACTGCAACAGACATGCCTAGCAGCACTATGACAATGCAAAAACAGGGATCTTCTGCCTATTTGAGCACTGTTTCCCATCTGGAGGCTGTCCACAGCATAACTGAGGGCTGTCCTGCTCTTATAGCTATCTCAGCACCTCCGTTTCAAACATCTGCATAACCTATGCAGCCTATAGTCTGCTCACATTTTCCTTGTTTCCCTTTGTGGCCACAGGTACAAGAGGTAGGAAATGAAAGACAAAGTGCACTGCAGGCAGCTGCAGAGCACTGAACATTTCATGGCATCCAGCTCCACCAGAGAGCACACAACCCCATCCCAGGGGCCTCCAGGATGCACACTCCTCACAAACAGCTTTCTGCCTCTCACATCAGATAAACTTTGCACTGACAATAGGTGAGAGCAAGCCTTACCGACCTACAGACTGGGCGTTAAACGCAGCAACGATCTGCGGGCTGGCCATGGCTTCGAGCCGGTTCTTCAGAGCCTCGAGGTGCACGCACTTCTCCGAGTAGTCCGGCGTGTCCACGAGCATGGCCAGGCTGCTCTGCATGCTTGTGAGCTTGGCGGAAATCACAGACACGTCCTGCCACCAGGAAAAAGCCAACAAGGTTATTTAACATCACGCTAGAAAGCATTACTACCTGTGCTCCACAGGGACTTTTTACACTCGGATGCGTATTTCAAAGTCACTTGTAGAATCTACTTTAAACGCAGTTTCTTTAACAAAAGCAAAGGGCCAAAAATCAAGAACAATGTGGCAGCTACCTGTGTTTTCAGAGTCTCTTCAATGTCTGCACTTAACGTGCTCCATTTGTCTGCTTCCTGGAGCGATTCAGCAGCCAGCTGCATCCTAGATTTCACCCGATCAATCTCTACAAGAACCTGAGAAAAGAGAAAGAGCTGTTGCCCATTGAAACCAAATGACTGTCCGGATGCTTACATTATTTCCAGGTTGGAATTTTACTAAATGTGTGAAAAAGGCTGGTTACAAGAAGTTGGCTGAAAGAACAAGAGATGTTAAATCCACTTCCGAGTCAAGCAACAACACTTTGAATTCTGCATTTGCACAGTCAGTTCTGACTTTGTCCGAAAAGTGTTACGCATCCCCATACTAACCAGAACACACACAAATTTGGACAACCAGTGTTCTAATTATGTAAGTGCACCCATGAATTAACTGCTACCATCAGCTGTTGTCAAGGAGACACGGGCAGGGCCCACCGTTACCACCACAGCGCTCAGGAAAGCGTTCCCAGCGCTGCCAGGTTCCCAGCGTTGGTCAACACGAAGCCGTCTGAAAACCCCAGGATTACACGAGGATGAATGCACAGAGAGGCAGGGTGAGGCTCTACCTGCATGGACTGAGCCGTGTCCTCCTCGAATTTCTTGATGTCTTCTTTGACCAGGACCATCTGCTCCTTGAGGAACGTGGCCTCCTGCTTCAAGGCCTCCAGCTCCCGCAGGACTCTGGGCATGTTCTGCAGAGCCTGGTGGCTCGTTTCTGCGCAGACACAACGCAGCGCGGTGAAACGCGGCAGACAAGCGCTTCCCACGCAGAAAGAGCAAGGGGCCCGCA